ACGCCGTAAATACCTTAAGAAGAAATTGGATTATTTTAATAACTTGTTCATTTTCTAAAATTAGTTTTATTTTTTACATTTTATTCACATCAATTGTGAAATTTCTCAGTGAGACCAAGAAAACCAGAGATGATCATACGTGAGAACCAGCCAAAAGAGTTACCACCCAATGTGGTCAGAGGTAAAGAAATCTGTGTTGAGTGACGAAATCTCACCTGCTGGGTAGACATTAACACATTCAATTTTTACTAGGAAGAAAATTGTTAATATTTAAAAGCGTGAGCAAAATTTGCTATTGACAATTATAATCGGACACAGTAATTTTTACCGTGATTTTATTCCCCTAACGTGCTGATAACAAGCTTCTTTGTGTGTCTTGCAAACATCAATTACAATCAAAACTTTATTTCATGTTTATGATGTTTTAGCATCGGACAAGCCTGACCTTGGGCTCGAGGAACTGTCGTCGCTGAACGTTAAATCACGCTTCCAAGTATTTGAGAAGTCTGACACTGAGAAGAACGAGATTGAACGATCACCCTCACAGGTCGCTGTCAAAAGGTCACCGAGTATTCTCAGCAAGCTCGCCAAGTATGTATAGTTGAAAAATACAATAAAAAAACACTTATTGGTTAAAATTAATTTTCCACATTGTTTTCCTATAGTAGATTTTTCGAAACTGATTCTCAGCCAGTGAAAAGATTTCAAGAAAACTATCAACAAATCATTTGAATATTCTCCATTACAGCAAATAAAAAAAGTCATTCGACTCAATATTTGAATTATTTATACGTAATAAACAAATGTTTCGGACTTAGAATCTCAAATACATTTATCCTTCGACGAAAAGCCAAAAGAGAATCCACGAGGGTTCTCGAATCTCATGTTACAACAGAGGAAATGCGATTCTACGCCGGTGGTCAGCGAAATTTCGCAAACGAATAAGAAAAATCGGAGTTTCGCTCAATTGCTTTACTGGAACTTATTTTTTTCCGCTCGTTGATGTTCGTAACAAAAGTTAAGATTATGTTGCATCACAGATTCCAGGCAAAGGGAATGGACATTGGCGTGGCTGACGAGTCACTGAATGGCATACCATACGAGGAGACCAGCGAGAGTGAGGAGGACGAGGATGAGGAAGAGGAAACTGAAGGTATCACATTTATCTATTATCCTAAATTTTGTATTTGAAAATCAAACTTCGTTGTATGTTTGATAAAAATTGATGTTACATATTTTCAAATCTAAAATTCTATCCAAAATGAATTATAAAATTATGAAATAATTTTTTATTTTTACGGAAATTATGAGAAACATTATTTTTTACGGATTGTACGTCTCAATACTAGGTAACCGTTCAGAATAGTGAATAATATTAGAATTATTCGAATCAAATTGATCTGGAAATGGAATAACTGTTTTCGTTGAAAATGTGAAATTGTATGGATGAGGTCGCTATCTCCGAATCGATTTTCTGTGAAAGAAATTGAGTCATTGTATAAAATGCTGAAAAAATGATTTCTCCATTTCACTCGACTGATAATTGCATTAATGTCTTTTCTCTATTGAAAATATTAAATTCTATAGAACTTAAAATTCAATTTCTCATATTCTGTCAGATTTTTCTCACTTTTAATTTTGTCAGTTGGACATATAGGTTGTAATATTTTCTTGACATTTTCCGTTTATCCACAATATTTTCAGTAGTTATGTCGTAAGAAGAAGTGATTGCAGAATTGCTGCGCCGATTAGCTTGAAAATCTAATCGAAACGAAGAGGGTCAAAAATCGTCTGAGGCCTGGTGATTTACTTAAGGTTGGAAACGGTAGTGCAGGTTTCTATGTACATATTTAATGGAAATTGCGTCATTGAAAATATTGACACTTCTCTGATAATGTTCTACAATTAATTGATATTTCACATGGTGAAGTCAGTGGGTAAGACCTGATCAAATTAAATTGATATGATAACTGACTCAATGAGATTCGTTTACTGTACATGGTAATGGCAAGATTCGGAGAGAGTTCGTGGTAGATTCACGACTTATAGCCAGAATTTGGTACGACGTATCAAAACAAAGAGGTTTTGAGGTATTCATTAGATGACTGCGTCTGTAGGGAACATTCTCTACATTAAAACACTTACTATTCCCCAAAACATTTTCAAAAAAACCACCTTGGCAAGAGATCACAATCCGAATTTTATCACATACTCTCGAATTTCTTTGCCATGAAAAACACAACAGCAATAATAACTTCTAATTCTAATTTCCCGTAAATAATTCTCATTTGTTAATTGATCTTTTTTTTCCTCCCCATAGAATCAGAGATAGTAAAATCAAAGCGTACAACTCGCGAACGTCCAATGAGTTTCAGCAAGATGGACGATATGAAAAATCGGTGGGAAGTCACAAGCCAGCAAGGAAGAAAGGAGTCACAACGAGAGGCCCGTAAAGAGGAGATCGCTGGCATTCGATCAAGACTCTTCATGGTAAGAGACGTTCAATCCTTCATGGCCATCCATTTTTTTCTTCCATTTATTCGCTTTTATCTCTACGTTGAATACTATCTTTTACCTCTTGGGGCAATACTGAACATTATGGCTTTCTTTTAGGGCAAACAGGGGAAGATGAAGGAGATGTATCAGCAGGCGGTTGCAACCAGCGAAAAGGTCACAAAGATCAACCCGGCTGAGGAGATTCAAAATTCCACTCATGCGCGATCGATTAAGGAACGATTCGAGAGGGGCGAACCCATTGTTGCTGATGAGGATGAGACAGACAACAAACCAAAAGTGGAAAAACCAGATGAGGAGGTCATCGCTGCTGGTAAATTTTTATTTAGTCCAAATAAAATGACTTTTCCAGAGGAATTTCACGATGAAACTGGGGTTTTTCTTAATCGGGTGATAGTTCCATACAAAGGTTTGAGACATTGCTTTTTCAAAGGGGGAATGTTAAACTAATTTTGTGATAAAAGAACATCGTTTAAAGTAGTGAATACATACCGATTGTAAATAACGTTTCACATTTAAATAACGAATGAGTTCTACAATATTGACTACATCAATCATATCACGTATATTATCTAAAGAATCATTTCACTCATTTCATTCGGAATGTTTTAGTAATTACAATTGCGACCTACTATAAATTTAAAAATTTGTGGGATTATTCTGACTGTTATAATGTTTATGTTCCCTATGAAAAGTGTACAAATTTCTGTATGTTCCAATTAAATTTATTCGTCCTGTTTGGAAATAAATAATAGAAGGTCACTTCGCTTCGGAATATTTCATAAAAATGTTCCATTGATAATTCTAATACTTTTCATTGAATATCCAATACATTTTAATTCGAAGAGTCAATTGATTTATGTGGAATAAATCTTTCATTTCCTACGAAATGAATAAATTTATTCAGGTAAAAAAAAATCAGATGAATTTCAAGAAGGTAATTTTCTACATGAAAGCACCTCACGACATTTCAATAGAAAATTATTCAATGCTTTCGCTTGGAGTAAAATTTCAAGTTTATGGGAATTTAAATTTAAATCGACCGTTCTCATATTCATTTCCTAAATGTAACCCAATTCACGCTATCGCAGGTATAAGCAGGAAATCCCGCTCTCTCTTTTTGGAATTGGATGCTACTGCAGCTAAGACCGGACGACCTGTGACGCCTGTTAATTCGAAAACACCTACTGAGGCACCAAGACGTGCTCGAGATGTGAGTTTAATTTTTTATAGCTATCAATTGCACTAGATAGGAAATAGCACATTCACAGATAATAAATCATACCCAAATTTTATATTACAAGCAACTGCTTCATTTGAAGAAACATTTCTCCATTAATGAGTCAAAAATTAAATGTTCTCAAAACATCTAGTGAGTTCCTTTTACCATTTAATCTTATCTTCTTTTACTATTTCAGTTTTAATGTAAATCAATTTTACAATTTCAAAGCCAGGGAAAACTTGCGAAGTGTTAAGTTTTCGAGATGAGAATGTTTCCACTTGTAACTTTGGTCGTTCATGGGTTGCGGTGTGGATTAAACTAATTATTCACAAAAACTATTTTCGAATTTCGACTCAGCATTTTTGATTTCCCCAAATTCAATGGACCAATAGAATTTATGATTTCATGTAACTTTTACAAAATTTTTGATGATCGAATTTAGAATTTAGCTTCAATTGTGAAAAGTATACGGATGTTCTGAATTCAAAGGGTGTGCCCCATCTAATGTTAAAGCAGATTGAACAAATTCCTCTCATCTCCATCATATTATTAAACATTTTTTATTATCATTTTTTTATCGAGTTTGGTGAGTTTGTTCATATTGTCTCTTTTCCATTTAAAGCACGTCGGAAATGTTGACGCCGATCAATTAGTAACTTAATCGAAACCTAAAGGAGCTTTAAAAAATAATTCGAAATACGTGAAAATATATTATTAATTAAATACAAAAATCCCTCAGTGGGTCGTCACATTGTTATCTAAATTCAGAAGATTACTAATGTATATGTTTTGGGGCGGGGGCTTGGGGGACAAAAGGCTTTCATGGGACGACAGGTATCAGACGACGTCATTCGAAGTACAGACACCACTGCAGAGATTCAAGTGGAAACTTCTGACATCACCAATAAGTTTAAATTTTTCGAAACATATAGTGAGCCGGAAAAGATGAGAAAGCAGTTCCGAATAACCCCTCCGCGTGATGGGCAGGTCAAGGTTCGTCAGAACCCTGAAAGTTGATTTTTTTTCTAATAGTTTTATGATTAGAAAAATTAACAAACACGTGGAAATTTGCATTGCTTATAACTCAACATAGCTATTGTTGTTAATGAATTAGCAATGTGCTTCCAAATGGATTAAACTTTCATTCCATTACATGATTCGCTTTCATAATCAAAATTTTCCACAGCAGAGGAATTTCCAAAAAAAAACATAACAACGGACACATACATACCGACAAGTTTTAAAATAATATATTCAGACTTTTCAGAGTATAGTTATTATAACACAAAAAATCGGAAACTTAAATTTTGACGAAAACAATGCTTTCATTTGGAAGCAGGTCATTGCGGTTTCTTATGACTAAATAACGAATGATTCCATGCTCACCATCTTCAATCAATAATTGTATTGATTTCGCGGATATTTTCTTCAACAATCATTGAAAATTCTATTTTTGAAAAAAAATCTCACAAATAATATTCTGTAACCCAACAACGAATAATGTTCGTTGCATTCCATTTATATTCTGATTGAATCACATGACCATTAACATTGATTTTTCAAGTGATCATTGAAAAAATCATTTTTAGAAAAATATAAATTTCTTCCAGACTTCATGATAAATTGCATTTTAATCGCTAATTGATAAATTCTTTGAACTTATGAATTTAACGAACTAATAAGTCCTTTGAAGGGATATATATATATATGTACATAGACACATATGTTACATACAACATATCGCAAGTGCATATTGACGATCCATGTTTCGAAGACGACGTAGTCAAAGTCCTTGAAGTTTCATTAATCATTCGCGATGTACCCAACAGCATGATCCGAATCGTATTTACCTATACAGACTGAGTAAGTACGTTAATGGTATATCCGATTATGAGTGTCTTCCCTATATTCCATGCATTCAAAAAGTGATAACTTGCGAGACAAATCTCATTGTTCATTGTCCGTTAGCTGTGTAGGAGTCTAAGATGCTATACCATAAAGAAAACGATTCCGCGTACTCAATTTTTCAGATAGACAACTTTTCTTATTCCCCCAAACTTTTCAAAATATCTGTGGAATAGTACATTTCTAACCGGTGGGGTCAAAATGAAGGAGGCGTGCTCCCGTGCGAAATGGTCAGCACATGGGTGAGGGTCCGTTATTTACACCCCGTGGTTATAGCGACAGTTTGCGTCGGGAAGAATAGCTATTTTGACACTGCTGCTACGTTCACTTCATGCCGAAAAGTGCCTTTTCTTTACTCGTACACGAAAAAACTTCTCGTTTACAAGTAAACGAAAAAGGCACAGTTCGGCTACGCGCTGAACGTAACATCACTGTCAAAATTAGTATATTTCGATACGAGTACGGAAAAATGCTCGCCTTCGACTCGTGCTATAAATCTCCCACGAGCCAAACAACACTTTTTCGTGAGAAGGCCCGATAAACCGTGATTCTAACCTCGCTTCGCTCGGTTAGATCGCGGTTTACGGGCCTTCTGAAGAAAAATTGCATTCATCACACGGTCCAAAAGTATTTTCTGACGAACGGGATTATAGACCTCGTCTTCGGCTCGGCCTACAAAGCCACATTCGTCAGAAAATACTTTGTGGACCCTGTGATGAAAATAACTATTCCGATGAGTATCGAACGATATGTTTCGTCATTCCGGCCGTAAGGCAGCGCTTTACGATTATTCGACATACTAAGGTATGATACAGGGAGGTATGGTGAAGCTTTGATGTCGCCGACACCGAAACAGGGGACAAGTTCCAATGGAAGTCGCGCGCGGCGCTGTTGCGTCCCTTCCCCTTACGCGGATTCGGTCTCCCACCACACGCCGATTTTACTTGCGTCGCGAGTTCAAATCCCCGTCCAATCAATTTTTTTTTTTTTCATGAGAGAGAAATGGTATATTTCGTAATGAGTGCAAACAAGTGGTTTTTGGCGAGTGGGAGGTTTATATCACGAGCCGAAGGCGAGTGATATAATTCCACGAGCTAAAAAACATTTTTTCACGAGTTACGAACAATATTTTTCATCACAATGTGGCGGAAATGGGATTTTTAGGCACGCGGAGCGTGCCGAAAAGTTCACTTTTCGTCACAGCGTGATGAAAATAAAATTTTGTGTTCAATCGAGAAGAACAGGATTAAAAAATGTTGAGATGAAAACAGTATATGATTCTCAGCAAATAATTCCATGGGTCGAGCGATAAAGATTGACTGAGAGTCATGTGTTCAGATCTATTGGAGTACGTTTTGGAGCAGACATAAACAAACAACATTTGCGAGATATTTTCACGCGAAAAATAAATATTGTTCAACATTGGACAAAAATGCATTTTCATTTTGTTTTTACTACTATTACATTGAGCAGTGATTTCACTCTCAATCTTGGTAATTATTTTCAGTAAAAAAAGAAAGAATTCACATATAAGATAAAAATCACCCCATTAATGAAAGAGTGAGCGGGCCATTGACTATTAAAGAAATAGTACATGAAAAACCATGAATATATTTGCATTTTTTTATTTTTCTTCGCATTGTACATGTAAATTTCATACGGGGCTAATTATTTTGACTTAAAATATAAATTTCATAACGTTCCCTCCAGTGAAATCATAGCTAGTGGTGTGAGACTCAAGGAGATGAGGGGAAGTATACATCAACCGGAACGCCACGCTCTGGCGCTCGGGCGAACTTGTCCCCTGTTTACTCGCTTCATCATACCTGTCTCTATCATACCTTACGACATACGACCTAAAAATACTGTTCGTCATACGGCCAAAAAAAAACTTTTCTAACTCATATGATTGCTGCTCTCGCCTTCGGCTCGAGCTGCAAACTCATATTCGCCATCAAAGATTTTTTCGGCCTAGTGACAAAATATACTATTATAGCTCATATGATTTTGCAATCATATGAGCTAGAAAAGTTTTTTTCGGCCGAGTGACCGAAGTCACTTCACGAGTGTGAAATTAGAGGCCCGAGGCGAAACCGAATATTTATCTATTTTGGAGATAATCGGGAATGTTTCTAATTATTAAAACAATTGGAGTAGTAAAGGTGCCTCTAAATTAGTATTAATCACTTTCAAATTTCTCTCGAGAAAGATTGTTTTTCCACATGTTTTGAGCGTCATAAGTAGAAATAACGCTCAGAATGCTTTTTTTGCATGAGAGATGCAAATTAACTGCTGTGGACTAACCTAATTTCCAAAAAATGTCGATCGCATCGATAAAGATGGTCTTTGTCCGAAAATGAGAACAAGGAGAAGCAGTGTATGGACCCTGAACTAGAAGCCCTTTCATGTGGGCAGAGAACCACTGCAAGGCTCTGGGGTACTTGAAAATAAGTGGAGAAACACTGACAGACAAAGGGGAATCGGACGAAGGCCGTTCTGCGGCTTTTTCGCGCGACTAACCAAGCCAAATTAATTTGTCATTCCAGAGGTACGAAATGTCGGGAGTTTGCACTAGTGGCAATCGGGTTATTCACCTAGGGAAGGGTTGCAAATGCTTTTTCGAAGAATCATTTCCAGTGTCGTCAATGAATTTGTTAAATTGATTGGGAATGAGAATAGTTGATTATTCTACTAAAAATCGAATCCTGACGCTTAGCTTTGAATGACTCCAGATTACAAATTCCCGAAAATCAATTTTTATGGGGGATAAAAAACTTGAACCTTTTATAACTTCAAAAGGCGATGTTATTTTTTAATAATGATTTTCTCAATTTTCAATGAAGATCTACATTAGATTTCTTTAGAATAAAATTTGATGTCATCAATTGGAATAAAAATGAAAATAACATAATTTTATGTATTCATTTGTGCATTTCCCTTAAACAAAAACCCAGTCATTGGGTCTCATGCAAAAAAAGGCGAAAATGCGAAGGTCTGAGAGGGGTATACACGGGTGGCACTTGATTTCTCGACTGCCCTTGAACCCCGAGAAGTTGCTTGCTAAGGTTTTACCGTTAGTGTTTCTACATCCTTCCATTCGGTCTGAAGTGAGTATGTGTACCCCATCCTTTTCTCTGGTAGAGAAAGAGAGCCACCAAACCACCGGCCACCCAGTAACATACCCGCTTATATAGCAGCCACCAGTGCGCTTTAATACTCAGTACAACGAGCAACAACCGGGTCCGGAATTCTATTGAAATAAAAATTGAAAAAGCATAAAAATAACTGAAATTGTTTTCGTATTATTTCGTGTCATCATTGTAAAACTTTAGAATTGTTTTTTATTTAATGATCTAGTGCTCCAATTTTTTCGCTGTATTTAGAAAATTGAAACCTATTTTGTTTTATTCGAAAATGAGTGAGGTAATGATTGGCAATTGTTTTTTAACATTAAGTGGGAAATAAGTGGGCGATAGGGGGGGGGGGTATTTATCGCAAAGGATGGACAATGCGATAGCGGAGGCAATAGTGTCGTACTAACGATACTGTAGACCCGATGGTTTTACACAGTGAACTTTTTTAAGCCAGTGGTGTGATACAAGTTAATATTTTAATTCACATGCTGGTGGAAACTTTGTGGTTATTTTCTCAACAGATAGTTTTTATTTCAGTAGAAATTTGATAAAATGTAATCTCTCTCCTCCCTGAGAAACAGTATGATATACATCAATTCGATAAAACCTCAGCGAACTTTCTTACTCGTCAAATTACTGATAATTAACGAATGGTATTCATTCGAAAACTGGACGATTCTCACAATATCCACTTGCTTCTCGTGAATTTCAATTACTGGAAGAATTAGTATTTTTCGGATATTTTGTTATTTTTATAGCAGAAATGTCGCTAACAATTTCATATAGGTGAATGCATGAACTACAATTAAATGTCCCAATTGTGCAAATAAGTCGAATCTTCGTCATTGAACCTGATAATTATTTAATCATTTTGTAAAGGAATTTATTCCAAAGCACATACTCCTCATGATGGGGACTGCAAAATAATGAAGAAGAATAATCATATGTGACATGAGCCAATCCATAACTTCATTTCTCAACTGAACAATCTCCCCAACATTCTTTTGGCATCTCGCCTTTATATTTCTCGATTATATGCACATCACCAGCCTATGAAAGTCACTTAGCTCCCTGCGGTATAACGCGGACTCCAGTCATTCATGCGCAAATAAAATTCAAGTCAGGAAATTTCGAGTCATCTCTCTCCGTGGGAAGAAAATTCCCTGCGTTTTTCCCATCTTCTCTATATATATTGCTACAGATCACATATTGAAATTTCACAATTCTCTGCCGGAATGGTAATAACGAATTCCTTTTTAAACTATAATTCAAGTAGGCAGAATATCAAGTAAAGTTTCTTAGATTTTTAATGAGTTCATTTTCAAACGGTGTGTATTCGAGTGATTGAAAAATCAATACATTGATTCGCCTAAGTAAACAAACCGTGTTTCATTTCTTACTTATTCCGAAGGCTATTATTACGCCGAAATTTTGGAGAATTTCTCCTTTATTGATAATTATATTGCCATTTTGGACTTTTAACATCATTCCGTGATATTTAGACACATTACATTATTTATGAAAATATTGTAAATTTTTTTTATTATAAAAAAATTGTCTTCCATAAATATTCACTTATTTTCAATTATCTCAAATTCATTCAAAATTGTGGAAAGTAATTGACATCATAAGATCGAACTGATTCTAATAATACGTTTTTTAATAATTAGTTAAAAAAATCTACGTGAATTAAATTATCATTCACGAAGGGCATTTTTTTCCTTGAAAATCATAGTGTAATATTCAAACATTTATCAAATTTTTAAAAAAACTAGGAAGTCCACTGATGAGCAAGGTTTATCAAAGAATTGAAGAACGGAAATTTTTGAAAATTCTGACCGCTCACCATAAGTAATGTATTAACAATCAATTGGCTGCCCTAAAAGCTGCAAGACCTGAAAAACCTTTTCTGAATGTTTATGTCCATATTCAGAATTTGACCGGAAGTTGATTTCATGTACAAAAATATCGAGTTTGCGAAAGTTGGGAAAATTTCCATTATTCATGTATTAATTCACTCCACAACATTATTCATGTATGAAAAAAAAATTCTTATTACTTATTTCAATTTTTCTTACGCAATTTAATTTTTTAATTGAACAGTGAGTGCAAATCTCCGATTCTATACTGCACTCTGTACAAAGCCGTAAACAGTACTTGAATATTCTTAATTATAAAAGTATCGTCGTTGAAAATCAAAGATTTTAAAGGGCAGTCGCTTGAATATTTTTTCACACTTTGAGTTTTACTATTTCTCATTGGACGTTTTATAACCATACGCCGGTATCTGTAACGGTCCAACTCGAGAATAACGAGCCAACTCGTTAGGCCAAGTCATAATGCGCGAAGAAGATACCACCGTGTCATGATGGAAAAAACGACAAAATAAAATAATAGATTGTAATATTTGAGAAGCGTCGAGATTGGCGAAATACAGTATCTTTTTAATGGACAGTTCGTGTGGATATTTCTATAGGCTAGGTATAGACGAGTTTGTGGCATGGTGGAGAGATTTTTTTTCAGAAGGGTCGGATTCCGACTGAGGGAGTGCCCTAATCCTTAACCAAAAAAGGAGATACTGTGGGCATTTATTTTGAATTCCACCCACGTTGGCAAAACTAACGTTTGTGGTTGAATTGTGTTGCGGAGAAGATTGATGGCTATTATTTTTAAACTGTAGGGAATTATTTACAGGAGAATCACATTTTGAAAATTTCATCAAATTGTATGAAACCAAAAGTGCAGAAATGGCAGGTGAAAATTTCCCGTTGGAAACGAAGGAGCTAGGGATCGAATCTGAATCATCTGTTGTTGTGTATATTAAAAAATGATAAAAATGACAAGCACTTCCGATTTTAAACTATTCGGGCCCACCTCTCTTCAACTTTTCTATTGAGGAATGAAAAATTATGACCATTTTTTGGAAAGCTCACCATAAAATAAATGCAGTTAGATGGCAGTGAGATGACCGATATTATTCATTAGATTATTACATTAGATCGATAAATCAAGTTCAGTTTTACATTGAACCAAACTGAAATTGAAAAAATGGCGAAAAGTGTAATTTTTGTTTACACCCATATCAAGGTCGGATATCCTCAATTCCAAAAGTCCGGAAGTTCTAATCGAAATCATCTTCATTCGAAAAGTTTGATCGCGTTGGAATCCCGTGAGGCCATTAACGAACGGCGTTGATTTTTCATTAATTAATTGAATATTTAAATGAATCCATTTCGAATTTATTTTTCTCTGCTTGACAAATTATTGTATTCATTTTTGTTCTGTGTGTTTGAGACTAAACATCAATGTTCATGGATCTATTTCGGTAAAATATTCTAATTTGTTGCTGGAATTATTGTCAAAAGGTGAATTCACCAGAACGCGAGATTTATCGCGATCCTGATGTCATCAGAGCAGACGACAGGGTCGACGAAATCGTGCACACAGATACAGCAAGAAAAATGCTCTCTATCTTCAGGCAAATGGAGGAAAAAGCGACTAAGGAAGACTTGCCTGATGGCCCGAAGCCTCTGAAATGCTTTACTCCACCACCTGAAGACAAATATGCCAGACCAACTGCGTCAGACTCTGAAGAAGAAGAAGAAGATGAAGGAGAGGAGTCTGGAAGTGATGAAGAGAGAGATCCAAACTATGTCAGAGCATCCGATAAGGTGAAAATCATTCAAATTAAATTTTCAATACTCTTCATAACCTTTCATAATCTCAATCGAAAATAACTTTTCACTTTTTGTTTAATTCTTCAATATTCACACAATTAGAAAATCTTTTATATAATTCCTTTTTTTTGCTTCCGAATGGAAGTTTTGTTATCGTCCATTTTTACGATTTTCTAATTTGGCTTGGAAATGACGCAGAATGTCATGAAACGTCAAGGTATGATGTCTTTAGAAAATGTGTGGGTCAGTGTGCGTGTGTGTGTGTAGCTGAAAATCTGAACTTTTGTGAAATAATTGGCATTATTTGGGAGCCCATCTGGGCGAAATTTCAGCTCATCAATAAACAATCGGTCAAGTAGTTTTTGAGATACAGCAATTACTCGAAAATCTTTTTTTCTCAACATCTGAGAAAGTACGCGACGGAATGGAATTTTTTTAACGTCAAAATATTCCTTATAATAGTATCTATCAAATCAAGTCATAATACATATATAAATAAGTCATAAAAATTGGAGGCCCTGGACTGTTTTTGGCATTTTAAGCGTTTTTGGGCAAACGAACAATAAACCAATTTTTTTGCACTAATTATTCGTTTTCAGATCTATATAATCGATCTTCAACGTATGAAAAGTCTCACTCCAATAACCCACGACTTTTAAAACTCATAGTAGTCTCCCCTTAAGAAGTCATCTACCATAGAATTATGTTCTTCATTGTTTCATTATGTCGGTATTTAATAGTATTACAGACACAAATGTGTAGAGAGTCATACGTTTTAAGGGTCAAATTTTGTAACGATCAGGGATTTTTACAGTTCAGAAGTTTCAAGGGTTAGATGTTCTGAGAGTGAATTGTCTTTTTCATAATTCCCAATTATACTCGCGCTATCCACCATGCAGGTTTCCTTCTTCAGCAAGACGAAATTTACGGTCTTTTCCGGTACTGGGTGGATCTGTGGAAAATATGTTGATAAATTAACTTTACGGTTCACTTTTTAAGAGCTAAATGTGTTGAGGATACTCTTCCAAGATCGAATGTTCTGAGGTTGAGATGTTTTCATGGTTTAGGACCTTCAAGGGCGAGATATTCTGAATACTATTTTTCTCATTTATAATCGCCACTTGTTTTAAATAGAAGTGGTGCTGATCCATTCGGAAGCTTACTACCAATGGAATTGATAGGAATGAAAAAGAGAAAAAGAGTTATAACACATAAAGAAACGGTCAGATGGCTTCTACCAAAAAGGCTTGGACCCCTGCTTGTTTTTTCGTTATTCATTTTTATCCATTTGCGGTGTCATTCAGGTTGAAGATGAATTCTTGAAACAAGCCCAGAATGCTGCAAAAGCAAAGACACTTCGAGCTAAGTTTGAGCAGTGGGAAAGGACCGATGGAAAAACAACAAGTCATCATGTTGCTGAGATGGACCTTGCTCAGACAGCAGATGGTGAGCAACAAAGCATAGAGTCTGCTAGAAGTCTCAGAGCTAGATTTGAATCTCTTGGATCACAACCTGCTGAGGCACCACGCGCTGCCAAAGTCAAAGTCAACAGATTTGTGGTGAGTTTCATTCATTAAGTAAAAAAAATTTCAAATCAATTTTGTCATTGTAATTTTTTTATTCTGATATGCGTTTGACCGTTTTCTAGCTTTAACCACTCTCTAGCATTCGTTGTGGTGATCCTAGTTTTATAATAATCTACAATTCATTTTATATATAATTTTTATGTAACATAATTTTTTGAGGTTGTGGTCCTCTGTAGTGACGTTTTGAAAAGAGATAATTCATGACATGACTTTGATTAGTAGGCCACGGAGCAAATAGTTGGAATTTCTTTTTGTTATAACAAAGATTTTCTGTTAAATTCCCCAAAATTTTCTAGTTTTCGAGCTGTTTTCCAAAATAATATACACGGCACTTAATTGCTTATCATTTTCTTTCGTCACTACTCTATAGATATCCATCCATCATACATTTATCAATTGTGCTTAAGCATCGTATTAATAATAATAAGTCATTCCCAATGTTTTTGAGTTAATGTACACCAGAAGAAAAAAAATTTCTTTCAAATAGAAGAATTGAGAGTTGACATACTTCTCAGTTTGTGGGAAAGTGAGTAAATTTCACAATGTGTTGGCAATACAACGTTTGTTAAGTACGTTGCTGGAAGATAACAAACATTTCGAGATTTTTTAATGTTTTATAATGCATATCTAGAACCGGTAACCAAAAATATATCATCCACATCTTTTGTCTCTAATACATTGCGAAATTTACTCACCTATACAAACTGAAAAATTACCGTCATCTTCATTTTTTCAATTCGATGTCAGTACCGCGCAAATCGATTATTGAAAGCAAAAATTAATTATTCGATATTTCCATGACCTTTGAAAAGTTTTTTTCCCCATTGATGGTTACGAAATTATCTTAGTTATTACTGACTGCCGGAAGGAGTTTCAAGAGAGCTCTTCGGTTAAAAATGTCTCAAGCTACACAGAAGCTCCATTTTTCGATCTCTAAAGAATCACCTGTTCTCCAAATAATTAAATAATTACCAAAACGTTGATGCTAAATGTATTTATGTGATAAGAGCAAAATAATCAGTTAACTCAACTCAACCTCTACCATTTTACAATTCGATTAAACCCAACTTTCAATTTCAGAAGTTTGAAATTAAAATTTTGTAATTTTAATTGACAATTATTAGTTATTATCTTGGTTTTATTTCTTCTTTTGGTGTCTGCCTAGCATGAGCGACGACTGTAATTTCACGTATAATGCAGCATTACGCTGATTAATGTGACGAAACTGCACCTTGGCACTTTATTTCAACCTGGATGAAATTTTTATTTAAGGTGACGGGATCGTTGATTTTTACCACTCAAACTTTTATACTGGCACATGTAATAATCATTCATTGTTAAAAATGATTAATGAATTCTAGATAGTCAGAACTCTACATTGGCAAACCCAAGTTTCCAATAGAAATTTTTTTTATGTTATTAGGCCCGATAAACCGCGATTCTAACCTCGCTTCGCTCGATTAGATCGCGGTTTTCGGCCCCAACGATATAAAATATCGTATGTCACACGGCGATAAAAGCATTATCTGGCGAATGTGGGTTTATAATCACATTCGCCAGATAATACTTTTATTGCCTTATGACATAAGATACTATCTTTTCATATAGAAATTTGACGTTTATTTGATTTTCCACTGATTTTTCCTTGCGTTGCGAAGATAACGGCTTTTCGAAACAATATTATTTATGACCATCCAAATGAATATTACGGTAATCTTTGCCAAAATGACGTCGATAGAAAAAAAAATCATCTAGCTTCGGTTTAAATAGGAGTCGTAAAGAGAAAGACGTTCTTTCTCTTGTCGGATTTTGTTTCTCGAAAGCTAAATCCAGCAAAGCGTCAAACAATTTTTTTTTCGTTCATTTTATTCGCTGTCCGATGACGTATCTGACAAAATTATTGTGAACACTCCGTCAACAAGTATTCAAACTTTGCCATCTTATTCCCTAGTACTATTAAGTAAACAATGAATGAAATCATAAAAAATCAATATGTTGGGTGATATATTTATGAACACTTACATAAATATTTGTTAGTACTACAAGAAACAGCAGGTTAAAAATCGTTTCTTCCAAAAGTAGGATTTCCACTAAAAGCTGATCCTCAGTGTCAATATTTATATTCGGACATATAAATTATATGAGATTTGCTAAAACAAATTTTGTATTGCAATCATCTCGAAGGATTAGGGATATGAAAAAATTATCAGCAACCAGTATCCACTGAAATTTTTTCAGTCCTTCGAGTGATCCAATTTTCAATAACTTCACTATACCAATGATACCGTCACCTTAATTTTATTGAGTGTTTCGTGTGAAGAATACCCCAAATAACCAACAAAAATAATTCATACTTGAATGAATTTTCAAATTTTTGGGAAGCAGTAAGACTCGAAGACTGACACCAGTGCGATCAGCAGCGAGGAATCGACCCTGGAGCATCAAAGTACTTTTCACTGTCAGGGATTTTCTAAACAGCACGAGAAAATATATTATTTACCAAATAATTATGACTATTCTTATCATCACAAACGTGTTTACGTTTTATAGCGAATTTTGATTGATGAAGTTAGGTTTCAATACAATTTACTGTAGATTATTACATGTATTATATTCTCTCGTATTTAATTCGTGCTAAAAACTCAATGAGAGGACAAGAATTTGAAGAATAAAAAAAAGAGTGCAATATATAATGTTGTCATCATCTGAAACTCTTAATTGAAATCCATGATTTAGTAAAAGTAGTTTCTAAGTTGAAGATTTCTATTTTCAGTCGTTGAATGATTCATTAACACCTGTAAGATTTTCTTTCGCGTGCCAATTAACAGTTACGAGAAAAAGAGAAAAATGTAACTACTAATTTGCAAAATAATGAAAAAGACTGATGAGAACAATTAGTGTTTCAACGATTTATTTTCGGGATACCAATAGAATCCTGAGGAATGAGAATGGTTTCTACGTTCGAAACAACTACTTAAGAATATCAACGGAGAAATTAAAGGAGGAAGGAGAGAGAATTCCAAAGTGAAGAATTTTCAAACTTTTAATTCAGCAAAATAAAATTGAATTTTGTCACGAAACAATTTGATAGTAAAATCATTTTCCATTATTTGGAGATTTTTATTTTTCATTAAATGTTGAAATGTTTTAACGCAAAAATTTATCAAATTATGGTTGTCAATTTTTGGCACATAAGATTACATTTTTTCAATAATTAATTGATCTATATTCACATACTCATTCTAAATTCAAGAATTTATCCAACTGATCTACAATAATGAAGACCCAAACATGAAGAAGAAATACAAATCACTAATGCATCAACAACGTTTCTCAAAAGGCTTCCACGGTAATTTTTTAGAAGAATAAATGAAACTCAAGTAGATTTCTCATGTAAATGGAATTGCAAAATATATTTTTGCATATTTGATGAAATAATTTTGAAAGGTGAAAGGATTTTCGGTTTGTTCTATTCATAGTTAACATTTACATGAATAAAAGATTGTGACATATCTGTACTAATCAGAAAAAAAATCCTCCTTGCAAATGATAAAAATCATAACAATATATCCTGTAATCGCTTAGAGTTTGGAGTTACTTATACAGCAATATTGTATTATAAAATGTGAACTTCGACTTGTATCTTTTTACTGTGGAATTTAATGACAACAAATAAATAAACGTTACAACGTTTTGTCGAAGAAGAGTAATTAGACTATCTATTTTAATTATTAAGGTAATTAAGAGAGAGTTTATTGAACGTTTATTGAAGAGATGAGAACATTTCAGAAATTTTTTTTCCGTGTGACATTCGATGAACTGTAAGGATAGTTTTCTTTAAAATTCATTGATTTCGAAGATATTGACAATATGTTTATTAAATTTTTGAATCTATCATTTTATCACTACCCTATAACTTTTGGTTACTATTATTTCAATTTTTTTCAATATAATCAGGAAATTCAAACTGCCTGTACTGATGTCTGTGAAAGCTGCGAGAAGAAGGTTTACCCACTGGAAAAGGTGGAGACGAATAACAAAATATTTCATAAACATTGCTTCCGATGTTTGCAGTGCAACTGTGTTTTAAGGTAAATAAGATTGATTATTATAACTTGATTGGAGATGTTGACAACAGTCTCTTTCTATGGCAGGGAAATTTCTACTGAAAAATTATCTCCTTACTCTGTAAGATTTCGAAAAACTATAAAAAACCTATTTCTTTCGTATGTTCCAAAATATTAGTTGTGGTGGGGTCTCCATCCCGTCTTTTACAACAGAAATTTCTTTAACCTTTGAATGAGACTGTCTTCAATCTCGTACTTTTTAGAATCCTCAAGTCAATAAAATAATTAATGAATGGTTTTTATAAATATTTCGATATAGCAATTCAAACCAACTTTGTCCAATCGGATTGAAGTATAGGTATATGCTATAGACTTATCAGAAAACACTCAATGAATGAAGTGTCCAATTGCGTTAATCTCAATTATGCGAAAAGCTCTAATTTTTTTCTGTAATAATAAACGTTTTCATTACTTTTTTTTTTTAGAATGGATACATTTACCCTGAACAACGGTAAACTCTACTGCATTCCTCACTTCAAGCAACTCTTCATAGCCCGCGGTAACTATGACGAAGGCTTTGGCGTTGACCCCCACAAGAACAAGTGGTCAACGACCACAAATTCATCAACAACTGCCCCAGCTACCATTGTGGCAAACGGTGTGGCAACACCCGTGGCCAATCACGTCTGATGTCCATATTAAATCGCGGTCTAATCAAACAATTGAAACGGAAATAATACAGACACTGCAGTTTATATTGATGAAAGAGTTGGGGGAATAGAGGTGAAAAGAAATCAAGTGAAAGTGAATGTAGTATCTATCAAAATTGCTCAATTCATTAATTTGATTTTATGTGGAAAAATGTATAATTTAATGGAGAATTTTAACATTTTGTTAATCGAGAATAATTAAAATCCTGATTGCATTAAGAAATGGAGATTCTCATGTGAATGTGAGATTGATATCCTACTCAAGATGCAATTAAAAATGCATCTCAAACTGAATAACTAATTCAATCATAGAGAAAATACCGCAATTATTCGAAAAAATTGCTTACTCCAAGAATATATTAAATGAATCAAAAAATTCAAAAATTCAGCTTTGTAGAATATTCCAGAAACCTCACTGAAAATTCAATTCGATGAAAATTCATTTTTCCAATGGAAAACGTTCTTTCATGTTAATTGGAGGGTCAAAGAGGTTGGAAGTGATAGGTGAGAGTTTTCCAGCTGAAAATCCTCTAGTCTCTCAGTAAAACCATCCGCAGTTCTATACCCAGCCAGATTTCTCACTTAATTTTTAACAATCAATTCATTTCGTTCATTCTGCAATAATTGATGTCATGAAAATAAATATTTGTAGATGAATTTTTTCTTTTCCACCGATTATTAATGAATCAATTCTCCAAAAATGAGCAATGTGTTTAAAATGATTCAATCAAGTCTTACGTAGGTTACTCTGAATTATTTATGATCTTTAAACGGTGAACCCGTGCAATTTGTATTATTAATTATTTCTTGGCTGTCCTTATTCAGCGCGGCCGATGCTCAAGTGACAAAAACTCGCAATATGTGAGAAACTAAAAAAAAATGAATCAAAAAGCAACCAACTCCCTACAAAATATTGTGAGCATCGCGTGGATATTCTTGCCCTACATAATTGAGCAATTGTGCGAATAAGATAAAATATTACGTGGTTAATTCTCTTCTAAATGTTAATATGTTTTCCAGACACTTTAACTTCAATTGTGTAATTGTCATCGTTTTTAATTGTGTCAAAATTGTAAACAGCAACGATGTAAGGTTGAATTATATGATAAACTTGATCCCAGGGAGACTGCTCACTGTGAAAAAAATGAGTCTCCATGATTTTTATTACTGAATTCAATATAATGAACTATTTAAATGTTATTGGAGAGATTTTTTTCCAGTCCCGTAGAGGGTGAATTTTTTTTCCTAAACTGATTCGGAGGAACAATAGCTTACATGTATTATTCATATTTTTAATTTTTTTGTTCATTTCTTTTTATACGTTGTACTATATATTTTCATTTATGCTCGTTTTTATCCCTATTACAAAGGAATTTCGGAGAGAAGAAGAAGTGTATTAGGTTCATTAATGTCAATACAATATTTAATTCTTTTAAGATTGCTTCATGATTATTTAAATCCATATCCGAATATATGATTTCCAATTCAGAATCATTTTTTGTGCAAGAAAACGGTTAAAATTCTCATTTTTCCTTTTGGAGAGAACGATTGAGAATGGATGTCTTCGGTTCTCTAATTTAAGATGGAAATAATGAAACATTTCGTGAAAACTCGAAGAAATGAGGGTAGTAAGGGCCAATCCCAACTCACCATCGATACCGTGGAGATAAGCATCTATGCTAAAATTCGATTAATTTCCAAGATATTGAAATTTATTTGTGAACTTGTTTTAGTTTAAGATTAGGAAAACAATAACTGATTGCGAGTCTCCTCAAAATATTCTATCTACTATCTGTTTCAGAAGTAGAGGACCCTGGGGTTATATGCGCATAACTTGAGAAAAAAAAATCGTAAAAATATGGGACCAATTGCACTGTGTAATATAAGTATTTCACTCGCCCAATACGAAGTTTCAAGTTTTCAATTTGATTGGTTTATTTATAATCGCTTTGAGAAGCCGGAAACCCCCCCGATTTTCAGGGTTCGTAAAAGTCGGCAAACTTTGAACCGCTACCATACGTACGAAAATTTTTTTTTTAATCGTCAATTTTTCCAGAGATTCGTTGAACCCTTGGAAAGCCAACGAGAGAAGAAAAAACTCAATATTGTAATAATTATTTATTTAATTAATAGAAATGTCGACTGTGGCTATCTCGTTGTAAAATTGCCGAACCGACCTGAAAAAAAGCGATGCATTCTGAATCCAATGTAAAGACATTCGGTCAATATTTTTTAAATAAACAATCTCCGTTAATTTAAAAAAAATCGAGGAAATTCGTCGAAAAAAATGGCTGTTAAAACGATTATAACTCGTTATGGGGTTTATGGGCCCGCTCACCGTCTGTCCCTCGTAATTGAAAACACATGTGCGCCTGCCTACCTCTTTCAGGGACGTCTATACCAGTTACAGTCGTTTGGGCCCTTTGGGGCGTAAATACACTGTACATTGCTTGCCCCCAGAGGGCCCAAACAACGGTAACTGGTATCGACGTCCCTGAAAGAGGTAGACAGGCGTACATGTGTTTTCAATTTTGAGGGACCGACGGTGAGCGGGCCCATAAACCCAATAACGAGTTATGACCGTTTTAACAGAACTTTTTTTGACGAATTTTCTCGATTTTTTTTTTAAATCAATGGAGATTGTTTATTAGAAAAATATTGACCGAATGTGTTTTACATTGAATTCAGAATGCATCGTTTTTTTTTCAGGTCAGTTCGGCAATTCTACAACGAGATAGCCGCAGTCGACATTTCTATTAATTAAATAAATAATTATTACAATATTGAGTTTTTTCTTCTCTCGTTGGCTTCCCAAAGGTTCAACGAATCTCTGAAAAAATTGACGATTTAAAAAAAAAAAATTTCGTACGTATGGTAGCGGTTCAAAGTTTGCCGACTTTTGCAGACCCTGAAAATCGGGGGGTTTTTCGGCGTCTCACGGCGATTATAAATAAAATAATCAAATGAAAAACTTGAAACTTCGTATTGGGCGAGTGAAATACTTATATTACACAGTGCAATTGGTCCCATATTTTTACGATTTTTTTTTCCTCAAGTTACGCGCATATAACCCTAGGGTCCTCCACTTCTGAAACGGATAGTATAGTCTTCTAGCCAGTTGGATCAAAACATGAGTTCCTTGATGTTCAAAGTTTCCGAAATGTTATTGTTTTTTATGCCACTCATGCCTGAAACCGGCTGGATTACACACTCGACGCTTCGCGTCTCGTGTCTAATTCAGCCGGTTTCAGGCTTCGTGACATAAAATTTTGTTCAGTACTTGTTGGGAAATTTCGTCCTTAACGTGTGTGGTTACATCACTCGCCTTCGGCTCATGCTGTAAACCCCACACACGTTAAAGACGATATTGCCCCCCACGTGCTGAAATATACTATTATATGATACGTGCGTGTAACCGCATGGGTTTCAGTTGACTATAGTCAACTGGAAAGTCGCGGTTGCGAGTGCCTACCCACACTCAACTAAAACCCGAAATAACGCATGACGCGCATGCGCATGACCTATTAAAAGAGAATAACAAGGAAGGAAATCTAACCTCCGAATAGTGAATACGTACATGGAATGACTGAAAAATGAAAAGGTGATTTTCGAAGCAGATAAAATGAGCCAAAATCGTATAATTCCTGATAGTGATGAAGAGTTAGGCAGTGAGGAGGATTTATTTACTGATGAGGAGGAATTGATTGGTGATGTGACATTTGAAGAAAATGGAAATGAAATATTCTCCAATGAAGCAACAGCAGGATCGCCAAAAACCCCTTCTTCGATCAAATACTGTAACTTAAGGGCTTTGTTGAATTCTAATGATCAAAATAATGTCAAGGAAACACAGAGAAAAATTATTTTTGCTTTTCAGAGACATCTCACAGAATTCACCGAAACTTCACTCACATTTGGTGATTGATTTCTAGAAATTAGTGATAAGTCATTGAGAATTCAGTAACGAAAATGAAATTTTTCAATCACACTTTTTCATAATTACTTTTTTAACTAAATGTGATCTTTTTTCTTCAGTTGAACAATAAAACTTGATGTATGGAGATGAGAATTTATTCTCCGTTAGAAAAATATTGCTTTGATAATGATGAGATTTATTTCGGCGTAATTATTTTTGCACGGTAAGTAGATATGAACCAAAATTCTAGTTATGATTAGTAAAACTCGTGCTGATCGTCTAGAGTGAAATTTGACAAATATACTTAGCGTTTTCGTTGACTATACTGGGGGGGGGAGGGATAAATATTATACCGCAATGTTTTTTATTATCATCAGGACAAAACTTTTCAATCAGAGAGTAGAATTTAATCTACACATATGCAATCTCATTGTTCAACAGGTACAAAAAAAATTCCTAGAGATCTTAGGACATTCATGAAGGTTTGCCTATATGATATTGGACTACTGTCGGTGTCAAAAGTAGAGACCACTCGAAATAAACGTCTATAACTCAGTGAAAAAAAATCGTAAAAATATGAGACCAAATACACTGTGTAATATAAGTATTTCGCTTGCCCAATACGGAGTTTCAAGTTTTTAATTTGATTAGTTTATTTATAATCGCTGTGAGAAGCCGAAAAACCCCCCGATTTTCAGGGTCCGTAAAAGTCGGCAAACTTTGAACCGCTAGCAAACGTACGAAAATTTTTTTTTTTAAATCGTCAATTTTTTCAGAGACTCGTATAACCCCTGAGAAGCCAACCAGGGAAGAAAAAGATCGAAATTGCGATAATTATTCATTTTATTTATAGAAATGTCGACTGCGGCTATTTCGTTGTAGAATTGCCGAGCCAACCTGAAAAAAAACAATGCATTTGGAGTTCAATGTAAAACACTTTCGGTCAATAGTTTTTCAATAAACAATCTCCGTTGATTTTTAAAAAATCAAGAAAATTTGTCAAAAAAAGTGCTGTTAAAACGATCATAACTCGTTATGGGGTTTATGGGTCCGCTCACTGCCAGTCCCTCAAAATTAAAAACACGTGTACCCGGCTACCTTTTTCAGGGCCGTCGATACCAGTTTCAGCCGTTTCGGCCCTTTGGGGCGCCAATATACTGTACATTGCTGCTTTCCCATTAAAACAAAAATACAAACACGAATATTTTTTTTTTAATCATTATCTAATCTT